CGTTGCTTATATCCAAAACTTTCTTTGTACACAAACCTGGTATTGGATTTTCATTATGATAAGTACTACTGATAGCTGCATATTAGCATATATTTGGACAATAAATATCGATTTAATTAACAATGTAACTTTCTATATGTCCTTTAGTTGTTAAGATGGGACAATAAACCGAGGCCCCCTGTGCTACAGGCTGCACGTTAAAGATCCCTCGACAGTTGGGAATTGAAAAAAAAAATAGGCCGCTGTTCTGGCAAAATTTCCCTCATTGTACCCTGCATAACATTGTCCGTCTTCATTAGCCCAAACGGTACAGAGAAGCAGGACTTAAAACTCCATTCATTTCATTTCTATGTGCCATTACTTTGGCAAAAAATAGATTAAGGAGTTCAAAGGTTAAATGTCCAACAAGCTTATACATCCTTCAACAATGGTTGACAAGAGATGTTCTAATTTTTTCATTCTCATTCAATTCTTATCATATTTACATTACTTTCTTACGTGTGAGCTGTGCACTTTGTACCCATGTAATGTTTTCAAACCAACTGTTAGGTGCTAAGACATAAATTGGGTTCAAAATTGAGATCATTATGAGATTTTCAAAGAAATAATAATGAATGTGTTCAACAGACCTAATGTATATAGGATCAAGGGTGTTTAAAAACATGTTGGAAATAATCCAAAAATTTACTTGTATAGTATTTTGGTACCAGATGTCGGTCTAAATTCATCAATTGGTATATATTTATGTTTGAGTCATATTATTAGCTCATATAATTTATAATTGTTAATGGCTATTTTTATTACTGTTTATGATTTAATCTACTCTGAACATGTAATAAATAAAGTAAACAGTTTTTGTCAGATAGCCACAGTAATATTCCATTGAAAAGTAATAATTAATAGAATTTGGAAACCAACAGTTGAAGAGACCCCACTCCATCAACTATTTTCTATCCTTTACCAGACACTATTAACACTATAGTTACTATCAAAATGGTTCCCCCACCAATATATACTATCTACACTAGTTACTATCAGAAAGGATCCCCCACCACCACTGTACACTATTTGCTATCAGAAAGGTCCTCCAACCAACACTAACTACAATAGTTACTAACAGAAAGGATCCCCTGCCATCACTGTACACTATCTACTATCAGAAATGTTCTCCTATCACCACTATGTACACTAGTTACTATCAGAAAGCATCCCCCGCCACCACTGTACACTATTTGCTATCAGAAAGGTTCTCCTATCACCACTATGTACACTATTTGCTATCAGAAAGGTTCCCCCCACCATTATACTAACAACTATCAGAAAGGTTCCCCAACCACCACTAAGTACACTAGTTACTATGAGAAAGGTTCCCCCCACCATTATACTATCCACTATCAGAAAAGATCCCCCCACCATTATACTATTCACTATCAGAAAGGTTCTCCAACCACCACTACATACACTAGTTACTATCAGAAAGGTTCCCCCCACCAATATACTACCTAACACTAGTCAGAAAGGATCCTCCCACCATTATACTATCCACCATCAGAAAGGTTCTCCAACCACCAGTATGTACACTAGTTAATATCAGAAAGGATCACCCCACCAATAAACTATGGACACTAGTAACTGTCAGAAAGGAAAGGTAACAGTAAATGAGTTAGTTAGTAATCTACTAGTGTCAATTTACTAGCTTACTATGTTGTTAATTGATCTAAGTATGTTTCGACCTCTTTATCAATCTATTTCTTACGTCATTCCTATCTAGTTATAGCTAGCTTCTGCCATGTTGATATTGGAACATTCTCTAATCTTTATTTCTTATTTTCTATGAGGCCAGTGTATAATTTGAAAAGTTTCTGAGCACAATGACCATGCTTACCCAGGATTTTTGATTAGATTTGGTTTTTTTTTTTTAGGATGAAGTAGGGACAGTCAGAACGGTCAAATGGCCTTCTTTGATTGGTTGAAAAAATGGTGGTCTTGAGTTCTAAACTTGGTCAGCATGTCTTTCATAAGTCATCTGTCCTTATTATTCAGGTCAAGCTAGCTGTAAATGGTACAGATAGCTGGGACACTCAAATTCTTTTGATCTCTCTTCATTTAAACTAGAGACTCTGAATGAGATTACCATGGGCAGAAGTAGGCCAGTTTCGACTACCAACCCCATCATGTATAAACATATATATATATATGGTTTATCATGCAGAGATTTTCATTGCTAGACATTCAATCATGTTATTAGTAGGCCTACCCTGTATACAGCCCTGTCGTTAGGGGCTGGGCCCAAGCAAGAGAGAATTAAGCCCCAGCAAAACCTTCTTTATTTCAGCAGAGATTGATTCATCTACAGTGTCTTTGTACACAATCAAAAATATATAGATTTAGATACATTTTTGGCATCTCAAAATTGTCAGAAATGAGTTCTCTAGGCTTTAATTCTTCAAATTTTCTGAGTATAAAATCTGAGCACCAGCACCAATTCATTCCTGGCAACAGGGCTGCCGGTTATATTTCATAAAAGAAATTAGTTATTCTAACTAAAACTGTATATCGATTATCAAATTAAATTACAAATCAATAAACGATTAATAATCAAAATATTTCAATTGAGAAACCCTGTAAATACTTAATTTAAAAAATGCCAGATTTTTAATATTCTTGCTTTGACCAGTTATCATAGTTTTTTGTGGGTATGTAATTTGCTGAAGGGAAACTATGTGGAAGAGATTACTACTTGCTAACGGGAGAGTTTAGAAAATGTAAATTTTAACATATAACTGATTATGAAATTTGATAATCTATAACCAAAATTGATAATTGATTGTTTCGATTATTTTATCCAGCTCTACACAGTTTTTAAATTCCTTGCTTACTTGGACTCAAATTGTTAAGCACTTTTTCTAGATTAGAAATTCTATTTTTCTAGAAATGGTAGATTTACACTAGTCTACATAAGTATGAAAACTTTTACCAAAAACTAGTGGTTAAATTAATGGGCTTGACAAGGTCTTCAATAACATTTGCTTTATTGCGTTTCAAAAAGAAACTAACAACAAAGGTCATTTGTATATTATTTCCACATTTCAGGTGTATACAAATGACAAGAGTGGCAGAAATCAATTGATAAGGCAGGTCAATTACTGAATTATTGATGGGCAAGATTTCCAAGCTGTTAATTAATTTAGAAAAAGTCAAAGGTAATGACCCAATCACAGAGGTAATATCCCTTATTCAGGGTCAATGTCAAGTTCAGGTCTTCATCATCAAGACTTCATGCATTTGGCCCATTATTACTGAAGAATGACACTTGTATAGGATAGGTATCCTAACATTTAAAGGCCATTAAGCAATCTTTCAATTTGGAGACTATTATTACATTAAAAGTCTATATTTTCATTGAAAAGCCATCTTTCCATTTGTTGTCTATCATTACATTAAAAGTCTATATTTTCATTGAAAAGCTGTCCATTCCATGGAAAAGTCATCTTTCCATTTTGTAGACTATCATTACATTAAAAGGCTATATTTTCATTGAAAAGCTGTCCATTCCATTGAAAAGCCATCTTTCCATTTTGTAGACTATCATTACATTAAAAGGCTATATTTTCATTGAAAAGCTGTCCATTCCATTGAAAAGTCATCTTTCCATTTTGTAGACTATCATTACATTAAAAGGCTATATTTCCATTGAAAAGCCATCTTTCCATTTGTAGACTATCATTACATTAAAAGTCTATATTTTCATTGAAAAGCCATCTTTCCATTTGTAGACTATCATTACATTAAAAGGCTATATTTCCATTGAAAAGCTGTCCATTCCATTGAAAAGCTATCTTTCCATTTGGAGACTACCAGTCCATTTGCAAGCCATATTTTAAAAGTAAAGCTATCCTTTCATGAGAAAGCTATCTTTTCTTTAGAAGAGTAAGATTATATTTTTAATAATCAAATAATATTGTTGTTTTCGTAGCAAAGATTCATACACATCAGTAATATTGAGAAGGTCTGAACAGTAAACAAATAATTCAGAAATAAAAAGACCTACCTTACCTTTAGTCCTTTGGGAATGCTGACCAGACAACCTCTATTTCAATTCTAGTCCGTCTGCCATTTGAACATTTCTCTCCTCATGCCATTCCATTTTGGTATTTCAGCCATTGAGGTAATTGACAAAGAGTATTCCAGTTTTGCTGCAGAACATTAAGACCAGAGCTACACTGTTTTTTTTTTCCCAGATGCATAGATTGAATCAAATGATCTGACATTTTGTCGAGTTCACTTCCACCCATACCGTACATACAAGTCTGTGCAATCCACAAGATACAGTTTTTTAAAATTTTTGCATATCACAATCCTTGATTTGAATTTGAAAATGTCACTAACATAACAGCCACATCTCTTTATAATAACATGATAACAATAAGAAACATAAACCGATGGTTTTTTTGGTTTGAAAGCACTTCAGATGAGAACAAAATAAACAGATTCAAAAGGAACGTAAAAGTCAACCATGGTTTTAATTCTGGTAAAATTTTCATGCATTTTAAAAATTTAAAAATTAAACGTTAAGGAAGGAATTATCTACATGTTCGTCTTGTATGGTCTAAAATGTAGAACATTAATTTTGGAGTCCTCGTGAATCACGCCACAGCGAAGTCTACACACATATTTAATGATGTAGATAGGTGGTAACAATTTTTGCATCTCACTTTCTGAAATCATCGTCACTCTAGCTTAAAAAAGGCATCACCCTGCCGTTTAAATTTTCTTGAATTAAAACTCACAAACTTTTTATAGGTTTTTTGGTGGTTAAAACATTGGCAAGATATTAAAATCCAATCCATATATATTTTAAAACAATCCAGGATTGCACACACTTTTCAAATCACTTCCTGGAATTTGGGGTAAAAGTTTTGTAATAAAAATGATGATCACACAGTTTGAACGAATGGTACTAAAACAAAAAGGTCTGTCTAACCTTACAGGGTTCTATATCAGACATCAGTTTCGATGCTTAAATTGTTGGTACTAGCTGGGTTATTTATTTTATTGGCATGATTTTCTTTTGGTTTATCACATAAATGCATATTGTTACCTTCCTCAATCTCCATAATGTCTGACCCGCATTCTGAATCAGTTGAACTTTTCTTTCTCTCAAAGTTTGGACAAGATTGAACATGGTGGTAGTTCTTATTGTCCTCATTTTCAGCTTCTCGGTGGTAGAAATAATTAAAGTTTGACACAATGACTGGAACAGGGAGAGCTATAGTTAAGACACCAGCAATAGCGCACAGGGATCCCACTAACTTGCCCCACACCCCAATAGGTCTCATATCCCCGTAACCTACTGTAGTCATTGTCACAACAGCCCACCAAAACGCATCGGGAATACTTTTGAAGTGCGACTGTTCCGCATCCGCTTCTGCAAAATACACAGCACTTGAGAATAATATAACTCCAATGAACAGAAAGAATATTAATAATCCAAGTTCTCGCATACTCGCTCGCAGCGTCTGTCCCAAAATTTGCAGTCCCTTCGAATGTCTAGATAATTTGAAAATTCGAAACACACGCACAAGTCTTATCACCCTAAGAATAGCTAGCGACATTGCTTGACTGTTACTTTTGCTTTCGTCAGCAATGACGGTACCCAATGTAATAAAGTATGGAATGATAGCAACAATGTCAATAACATTCATGATGGTTTTAAAGAAAACCATTTTACTTGGACAGGAGGCAAACCTCACCATTAGCTCAAAAGTAAACCAAATTATACAACATGTTTCTATGATAAAGAAGGGTTCATTGAATTTTGGAATATCATCCTCTTCAATGGACTCGGAACCATTGAGCGTGGTGTTGACCACTCTGTAATGCTTGAACTCGGGTAAGGTTTCAAGGCAAAATATCACAATAGATAATAAAATCACTACAACAGACAAAATAGCAATCACTCTGGCAGCTGTTGAACTTTCAGGATACTCAAATAAAAGCCACATGCGTCTCTGGAACTCGTTATGAGGTAATGGCACCTCCTCTTCCTTAATATATCCTTCATCCTCACGAAATTTTTCAAATGCCTGATCACCCAGTTCATAAAATTTTATCTCTTCCGAAAACACATCCAAGGGAACATTGACAGGCCGGCGTAACCTGCCACCACTTTGGTAAAAGTATAAAATTGCATCAAAGCTGGGCCTATTTCGATCAAAGAAATATTCATTTCTCAAAGAGTCATAGTATCTGTTCCTTTTTGAAGGACTTCCCAGTAATGTATGTGGGAATTGATTCAAAGTTTTTAACTGAGTTTCAAACCTTAATCCGCTCACATTTATCACAACTCTTTCACCACATTCGTAATCTTCTGCAGCCATGCCATCACCTCCAGGAACATTACCCTCCTCCGATAATTTGGGAAAGGATCTGGAATGTGGAGTAGAACGATTGATTAACGGTCTTGAGTAACCAGCTGGGCCGCCGTTGCCCTCAAGTGCTACCATGGCGGCCTCCATTTTAAAAGGAGTCCTACTTTGGGGTCCATGCACTGGGAATAAAAATTCCGAACATTCGTGACTCTAACTTAAAATTATTCCTTTTGATTATTATATATCGACAAATATGGCGGAGAGAATATAAGCACTGCTATTCCCCGGATCGGATCGATTATTTTGACGTCACATCGACCAATATGTAGGCCTGTGTCATTTCATAGTACCAAATATATATTGTATATTATAGCGCTAAGAAATACAATTACTCCGATAACAAATCATAAATAGTTATTCAATAAACGATTATAAAACTGACACAAAAGTTTCTTCGAGATAACAAATGGCACGGCACTCAATAATAAGCAAGTATACTGTATATCAAGTAATATACGTATACTATTGGAATTATAAATGCCATTTCTCGTGAAGTCGTGAACGGTTATCGCTAATACATATTCCACGGCTTACTTCAATTCTTGTCAAAAGCATAACGGTCACTCAATAGCGGTGGATAAATAATAACTAAAACAAAAACGGAAAACTGCAAGCACACCATAGTGAACATCTCTCATGCACCGTTACCTTTCGCATAGGCCAGCCCGAAATGTCAAATTAAGAACCCCTCGTGAATAACACAATGTTGTTCGCAATGGAAAGTAGCCAATCACTGTGTGACCTCTAAGAACCGTTATGTGATATTCCGTAATCTATAAATTATATAACACTCGAATAACCTGATTTAGTAACATAAGGCAACTTAACGTACACCCCGATTGCAACAATGTATTAATTTGTTTTTATTTATTTTATTTTGCCCGAACTAGCTCCATTTAATGCGGAGAGAAATTTTACCCTAGTCAACATAGTCCGGACGCGCACCTGCTATAGAATTGATATAGTCGAATATCACGCGTGGCAAATAATCAGACACAAGGTAGCCGCCATGTGATAGAGTTGTGTTTAGAAAAGAACGAACCATCGACTAGCATAAATTCAACGTTTTAAGGTTGAAATACTGGTAACAAGTTCCAGAGACATTTATTGGAGTTAGATATCTTGCCAGGGCTGAGGATGACACAGTATTTACCACCAAATTTGCTAGCATTGTTTGCAGCGAGGGATCCGATTCCGTATTTGCCTCCGGCCGATAAATTGGGCCACGAAAAGAAAAGACTTTCTTATGGTGGAATTGCAAGCTTGGTGAATGAATTTGAGGTAAAGTATCGTGCAATAACGTGCAGTTGTGGTGATGTGCAAGGGTGTAAAAGGCAGAAAATGAAGTGTTTAGTCATAACAAACTCACATTTGGTCCAAAATGGCGGACACGAGAGTCGCCATAATAATCCAACACTAACAGAGTTTGTCGATTTTTACCGCATCATAATCACACTGTTTACTAAGTTGAGAAAATCGATTTTAACCGTGCACGAGTAATTCTGTTAGCCTTTAGTAGAACTAAATGTTTATTTTCACCACTTGGTTGTAAACATTGTCAGTAGAAAAACTTTTATTTAGTTATTCAAGTCCTATATTATAATAGTAGCAGTAGTATCAGTACTGTCCACCTTGCCAACACAACCTGTTCTGTGAACTGTATCCCTTTCGTCTGACAACAATAGACCTGACATCAGGTTCTTATGAAAGTCACAGATATTGTATATTCTTCTAGTTAATACCCATGAATTATTCAAAGTCTTTTCCCCTGACTGTGTCACATAATTTAATTTAATATTTCCATCATAATAAACTGATGTAAGTCTCAATGTATTCAGATTAATGACTCTATTTTGGTAGTTGGTCTGATGATGTGGAATGATTTATTGTTTTTAAGTGGTTGTGGATTTTAGAAACTGATTTTAGTTATTATGAAGGGATTATTATCGCAAGTTAATTATTTTTGTTTAAATTCTTGTTTCGGTAAAATAAATTCTTCAAGTAGTGATAACCGTTGTTAATTAGATTTGTTGAAAAATGGTGTGATTCACATTTTCTGCATTTTTCTATATCTAAAGAACAATCTAACATGCCGACCATGCAGAAAAAAAAGGTTATTCATTTGTAAACAAAAGTAATTTACATGTACTTTACCTGGTATTTTTGTGACCAATCGCTCTTCCCTTATTGAATGCATGCCTTGTTCGTGGGCTGAGGTGTTGTAAATTATACCCGGAATTAAATTCATCCACAAATAAAGTTTGGAACATTGGTATTGAGTTATTGACTTAACTTTTTACAGAAGCAGTCCTATTAGCTATTGATGTAGAATGTTTTATGAGATATTTTTAATCAATAGATTTGAAGAAAAGGTTTTTTTTTTTTATTAATTACATGGCAACAGGATTATAATCTTTTAATCTTTGAAACTAGTTGTGATTGGTGACACTACTCTTAATTGATTTAACTAATTAGATAATAAAGATAATTGGTAGGCCCCAGATACAAAAAAACTATTAGTTCTTGTCCCCCCCCCCCCTCTTATCCTAATAAAGTTGAGTCACCAAAGATTAAGTTTTGGATACTCTCAAGAATTCCTTTTAGAGTTTTTCACAAAGCTGCAACCCTGCTTTCAAAAGCCTATGCATTGGGTGTACACATATATTTCTAAAGTCACCTATCTAAGCAGATCAGTTCATAAATATGCTATTTCTCTGGTGTTTTGGAAGGGTCAGTAGAAATGTCAGTTATGTAATTTGTATTGAAATGTATTTAGAGAACCTAGATTATTATCAAGTATAAATCCATATCAATACCGTGGAAGTGCGAGTTATTATCTTATTATGTAAGGTTAATGATATAAATCTATTTCTTAAAGCTATTTCTTGTATTGGATTAATTCTATTACTGGTTGATTCCCTGCCTTTGAGCTGCTTTTATTCAAATAAATCCTGCCTTATATCATATTGTATAACTAAAACCCTCTGATTTTTGGTGGACTAGGGTTATAATGAAACCCTGGATTACCTCATTTAGTCATTTTATTTTTTAAAAATTTCCACACATTCCATAAAGTCACTGAAACTATGTGTATTTTGGATTGATTTTTATGAATTATTGTTCGTCATCTCTGTTTCTAATTAACTACCAACTTACTAATTAAGAAAATAGATAATTGATTACCATAAAGACTTTCAGAATAACCCATCCCAATTCTTGTACACAGCTAAATATTTGTGTGATGCATCTAAAAAAAATATTGCAATCTGATCTCTCTGTACGGTGTGTGTTGTTTGGTTCATTAGTAAATAGAAGTGTGCGAAATACAGGAGGTACAGGTGCAGACAGGATTTGTTTCTACTATTTTGTACTGTATTGATAATCAAGCACAAGACACTGTACTTCCCTATTCATGACTTAACCAACTGTCATTTTTATTTGTGGATAATGTCAGTGGTTTATCGAAGCATAATTCATATCTATGGCAATGCTTACTTTCTGAATAAGATGAGTTATTCTGAAAATGATGAGGTATTCTATTATAAAATTCTACAGAATTATTCTTTACCTTTGTGATTGAGTGCTCAAGTAATCAAGCCTTCTTTGTGAAGCAGAAAAAAGAAAGGGATTAGCTTTATCACGAAAAAAAAACTAGGAAGAAGCATTAAGCAAGCTGTATTTCAAAACTTTTGATCCCAAAATTTTGTCCAACCCCTTTGATCTATTGGCCAAGAAATATATGTGCTGAAGCAAGTGCAGACATGCTATCTTGAATGATACTGGCAAATGAAGCAATGAATATACTGCCCAAAAAGCTTGGTAGCAAATATGAATGAGCATGGCAAAAGTGCAGGACTAAAAATAACTAATAAGCAAACATGAATTGGGTCAGTTTTATGGTAATGGGTGAGAAATGAAGGGTACAAACAGTTGTGCAAAGGGTGTAATAACACAAAACAAATACTGTAGCAAACACATCGGTTTTGAACAAAGACTGGCTTTAAATTTCAGAAAAATCAGAACCAAAGACTAATTTGAAATATATGGCAGTACCTGTTTGGAAATCCTCTGTCACCGAGTAATGGTGCCAGCTGGTCATCTGGAAGTTCTGAATTTTCTTCTGGAAAACTTTTATTATTGGACGACCAGGATCTCGACCTTGCTTTATCTGACGAATTGTAGCCCCCAGTATCTGAAGATATGGGGTTGTTTGATTCAGGCGAACCTAAATCAGAACTTGATACCTCTCTGGATCTATATAGTTGGTTTTGGTCGGATCGTACTGAATGTCTTAAACAATTAGGAAGACAGGATGTTTTTGTGGGTTCCTCTTCAGCTCGCGAGTCCAGAGAGTAGGAGTGCTGGCTTTGGGTGGATTTGCTCCTGCGTATTCTTCTTGCTGCTTGGATTCTGTCATGCCGTTTTGAAGATATGGCATCTGTGTCTTTAGGCTGAAAAGAAAAAAATGTCAAGTAAGAAACATTAATGAACAGGCTGCCATTTTGAAATTTCTATACTTTGACTTGTTCTCTGCTTTGTTTGCTGCGCCTATCTGAAAAAAAAACCCAACATCATCTAGCCTCAACAGCTTCATAAAAAGCGAAAAAGGATGTGAAAATATCACTAATAAAAATGCTAGCATACTCTCATTAATAGGAACATCAAGCCCTACAATTCCCACCAAACTCTAACAGAACATGTGTATCCTAACTCTTTCACATTGTTATTCTGATTAACTTGCATTCTCTTGTCAAAACGCAGTTTACCTCAAGATAAAAATGCGACCTACTTTTATTGGAATGTCCATAGTTATGAGGTATTTTTAGTCATGTCTCTAGCTGAATGATATAAATACAATTAAAATGGCTATGTCAATGATCTTTGTATAAATTGAAATTTGAAGACGTCACATGTTCAAAATGTATCGCTTGACTAAATCAGTCCCTATATTAGTTATATTAGTAAGTGTATTACTTTACTGTACCTCTTCGAAAACATTGATTTCAGGCAGTAAGGCCTGGCCTCGACAGTGCATAGCAGATATATCAAGTTGGCTATCACTTCCTCCAAGCAATGGCTGAGAGTATAAACCAAACATCAAAAAAAGTCTCTTAACTCCTCTTTCTTACAAGAAAGAATTTTAAGTCAACTCTTGTCTCTGTTATCAAGTCTATGGCACTGATAACTATTATTAGCACAGTGAAGGCATGCGATTGTCTGAAGGGGGTAAATCAGTATGGTTTGAGTATGCGACATCATTCCTCAAGATACACATTAGCCTCTCCTATACCTATATCATAATCATAGTTAACTTAATTGATAACATCTGTATATAATGACAAACTGCCAAAATTATTATTATTCTACTTTTTATTATGAGAAAATAAGTCCCAAAATCCATATACATTGTTTGCCATCATTTTATTGTTGAACATCTTCCAAATTTCTTAGTGCAAACAATTTGCAGGTAGGAGAGGCTTTGTTTCCTTACAGGATAAGAATTAAGACCATGTGTGCCAAACTCTTAAAGGAGCCTTCCGCTATTTTTAAAAACCAAAAAACGTTGTAAAGTATGCTAGTTAAATCTATGTATCTACTTGATCAAACTGAAATTGTTTTAAAAGGGTTAATTAAAAACTGAGAGTACCGGTACTAATTTTTAATTTAGCAGTTTAACCTAGTTTCAGTGACTGAATTTATAATGGCTCATTATATTTACCAATAGTTGAAATATTTCTCTGCATTTTGGCATTTATTATACTCAAATCCGTACAGTAGTTTTCTACCATCTTGCAAAAAGCATAACAAACTTTAAAAGGTTGCATAACAACTGGATTTTGTTTAGTTAAAACTTTTAGATAAATTAAAGAGCACATTTCTCTATATTTTGGTGTATAGTTTTAACAAATTTCAGCAAAAAATTTTCGGCCTACCTAAAAAAAATGCGGAATGACCCTTTAACATGAAAAAGATTAGACTGTTGATTTAACATAGTTGTACAGTACCAAGCTTTGCCCCTTGCTTATAATTTTAACGGTAATTTTTTTTTTTTTTTTACCTATTTTATTTCAGAAGGATTAATCTGAATTTCTTTTGTTATTACAGGACCCTAAAGATACTCCACCTCCAACACGAGTTGAAACTAAAGATGAAAGAAAAGAACGAAAGGTAACTGAGAAAATTCTTCTAAAACTATTCAAGTAGTATTTTCTTGTCATTTCTCATCTGATGCTGTGGGCATATGTTATCTTCCCTGATAAACTTTTATTAGGTTTTTTATTCAAATAAAGCTACAAGTGGATGAATTTAGGGAAAACTTGAATCTGAAGACTGGTTGACAGAGTCTTAGCTAATGGTCTTAGTTTGGTTAGCCACTCCCCCATAATCGCAATTCTTACAGATCATTGTTTTAATGAATGATGATTCCACAAAAATATTTAGAATCTGATATAACTGCCCTAATGCATGTTTTTCTGTATTTTGTAGAGAAAAGAAAGGGCTGAAGCACATGCATATAAATTAGAACAAGATCTTGCTCTTTGTAAGTATTATTTGGTAAGATTCTACAGCCTTATGCTGACAATGCGGTACTTGACGATTAAAATGGATATAATGTTTTAAAACAGCGCACAAATGGACAGACTGTTTCAAAACATGATTGACTAGAAATGGACAGACTGTTTCAAAACAAGATTGACTAGAAATGGACAGACTGTTTCAAAACAAGATTGACTAGAAATGGACAGACTGTTTCAAAACAAGATTGACTAGAAATGGACAGACTGTTTCAAAACAGGATTGACTAAAAATGGACAGACTGTTTCAAAACAAGATTGACTAGAAATGGACAGACTGTTTCAAAACAAGATTGACTAGAAATGGACAGACTGTTTCAAAACAAGATTGACTAGAAATGGACAGACTGTTTCAAAACAGGATGGAATTGTAATACAGACGGTTTCAAAACATGACTGACTAAATATGGACAGAGTTTCAAATCATGATTGAATTGAAATGGACAGAGTTTCAAAACAGGATTAAAAGGAAAATAATGATAAATATCCCACTTTTCAAAACAGTATGAAAATATAGAAGCAGTTTTAAAACAGGATTAATCATGGTGGTGACACACAAAATCAAAAATATTGTTTAAGACATTCAGATGTGGGTGGAGTTGAATTAACATCAAAATATTTGTGATTAAGTGGATTATGCATAAAGAAAAATGTCTCTTGTATCTTTATTAAATTGTAACATTTCAATACATGTGCTACTGATATTTTTCCATCCTTTGGGAATTGTGTTTTCTGAAAACTTGTAAAAATTATGAATTGACGTCAATGTATTGTCAAGGCAACCTGGTATTATGTGTGTTAATAGTAGACTTTTCCTACAATTCTTGTCACAATCCTTGTCTTATTATTCTAAGTTATTGAAAAATTGATGTTTGAAATGAGGTTAATAGTCTTTTTTGACTGGCTCTGGAGAGTGTTTATGAGAATTTAGCTCAGATTATGATTTATCTTTTGTTTTTAATTTAAACTATTTTAGACAGTTAAAAACTAAGGCAAATATAAGGTTTGATATTATCTGAATTTGAAAGATTCAAGAATATTGCTTTTTTGTATCTATGTAACGTGATACCTAATATCACCAAGACACGTGCTCGTGATGTATAATATCATTAAGACACGTGCTCGTGATGTATAATATCATTAAGACATGTGCTCCTGATATATGATACCATTAAGACACGTGCTTGAACCAACATAAGACCTGCAATTTCTATTATTACATTGAATTTGATGTAATGTTAATCTACATTTACAAGTACGCTGTTTTTAATCGAAAATCTTTTTCTTTGTTAATAACAAGTCCAGTTCTGAGCTAAATGGAAAATAAAATTGAATACAAACTTAACGTTTTTTTTTTTTAATCAGAGCATTATCAACTTGCCCTGCACCCTAGCCAAGTATTTACCTAGAGTTTTAGAAATATTATAAAATTGGTTTAAATTAGACAATTCTAAAATTCGAACACTAATGTTGGAATTTCTTCCACCAGCATCGCTTTGTGTCTGGAAGGGTATTGCACATACTGTGAAGTTGTGTTTTGAGCATTGGTTAAAAAACTTCGAGGCATGGGTCACTGATGAAATTTTTGGAAGGTCAAAATTTCAAAACTGAAGCAAATACCAAATTTCACAGGCATTTATGATGAACATACTGCATATGTTCTGAACAAAAAGAAAGCCCTCTTTCCTTAGACATGAAGGTCCTGATATTCTCTGGTCATTACATCAAAATGCCTTACTTCTCCAACGTATATACGCCTCAGTTATAAGTTCATTAAGTACAAATAACTACAGAGATGATAGTTTGTATTGTAATGAATAATCCTTGTCATAAGACTAAAAACCTTGCTGAGAAATAAAGCTTTATTGACAGTAGAAGGGAGATAACTATATTCTTAAAACTAATTGCTTTTTTTTATCTATATTAATCTATGTATTATTGTATTTTACAGGGGACCCCACTGGTCAGCATGCTGGGTATTCAGATGCATTTAAAAGTTTATTCGTTGCAAGAGTTGTAAGTTTCATTTCTTTTCTATTGTACATGAAATATGATTAGTCTTGACAAGATTTATGAACGCCACTCCACATAACTGAAGAATGGAAGTCAATTCAAATAAAAATATTTAAGTATAACAACTTCATCTTCAAAATTCACAGCATTTGTATATGAAACATTTCAAAACTTTTAAAATAACTATACATCAAATATAAGATATTTCATTGCTAATATAGCATTTTTACATCAAATATTTCAGTGCTATAACAGCATTTATACATCAAATATAAGATATTTCATCGCTAATAAAGCATTTTTACATCAAATATTTCAATGCTATAACAGCATTTATACATCAAATATAAGACATTTCATTGCTAATATAGCATTTTTACATCAAGTATTTCAATGCTATAACAGCATTTTTACATCAATTATTACTTGCTCACATAGCATTTATACATGAAATATTTCATTGCTAACATGGCATTTTGACATCAAAAATATTTCAATGCTATAATAGCATTTATACATCAAATATAAGACATTTCATTGCTAATATAGCATTTTTACATGAAATATAAGATATTTCATTGCTCACATAGCATTTATACTATAGGCGAAAGCCTTTTCACTAATCCTATTATGTAAATTAATTTTGTTTATACAAAAAAAATAGCATATATACATAAAATATTTCTTTACTCTCTTTTTATTCACACATAAATATCACATCTACATGTAGGCTCTCAGCATAATTTTCTGGGAATCCGTCACTTTGCTTGGCAGGCAATCTTATATGCATTGAAAAGATGTTTTATTCAAATTGAAGAATCCTTAGATTATTACCACATAGAAATGACAAGATAATCTGTAAACTCTAGAAGTTTTTATTGAATGAATAAGTTGAAGATAATTGATTTGAATGTTTTCAATTGGATAACGTCATGTTTTCTCCTAAACCACAAAATGAATTGCCATTGTTTTTACTGAAATTTTTCTTGGCAAAGTTGATGAGCTCTAAATCATTGTGAATTTTCTAAATGTTCAGAGGTCAGAATTCAACCTTTTTGTATATTGTCAATTAAATGATGCAAAAAGGAGGAACTGCTTTCGTAAAGTGTCAAGTCATTAGTTTAGAGAATTAAGCAAGATTTTCTGTGCAAAAGGGCAATAAAGAGTTATAAGAGAAGGTTAAAGATGGTTTTCCTTATATATTAATGTCAAATTATGCAAACTAATTGATTAATTGGTGTTTTTTATTAAATATCATGTACTTTTATTCATATCATTATGTTCTTATTGCACATAATGAAGAGTCTTAATCAATCATAAATGTCCATGTATGTACAGTCTGAATAAACAAAAGACTTTTTGACCTTTCTTCATCTGTCACTCATCGAATTCTGTTGATAATTCTCTTCTAATTTAGCTAATTATGAATTAATTATGGACATGTGAGACAAACTGGTATTTTTCCAAGTCATTAGAACACCTTTACTTTCTACTCATATAAGTATTAGCATTTTCATTTTCATAAATGAAAATAAGGGAACCCATCTTTAAGCTGCTTCTTGGGACACCTTTTTGTTCTACATGGCATTCCCAATCATCAGCTATGCAATTGGGAGCTGTAAAGTGGGACATAAAACTACAAACATGTACATTTTTCTACACTAGCAAGTGGTACAATAAGTGTCCCTTGCTAAAATGTTCAGTTGTTTGCTCTACGTGGCATTCCCAATCTTAAGCTGCCCAATGGGGTGTGAGACTTCAAACATGTACATTAATTTCTACACCAACAAGTCTTAGAAATAAGTATCTCGTGCTGAAAAGAGTTGATTTTTTCTACTCCAAAAAATGGTATAATAGGTATTCACAATGAAAAAGAAAGAAAGTTTTTCATTATCTTATCACAGTTCTGGTCAAAGCTCTAGGGGTTGAATATTAATCAATATATTTAATACACATGAAATACTTATTTCATTCATGAATTGTTAATTCCAACTATAATTAGCATTAGGCCAATCATGCAGTAACTTACCACGCTCAATCCCCCAGTGATTCTTATTATTTCAAATTGAATTTCTACTTTGTCTACCAGTTTTGTTTGTATTTATATAAACATCGTGCATTCAATATAAATGGGTCAAATATCAATGCCTTTTGTATTTAGCACATGGAAAGAGCGCCTAGTCATTCAGATGGGACATTAAACTGAGGCCCTGTGTTCTTCAGACTGTGCATGTTAAAGATCTCTCTCAAGTTGGAAATTGAAAAAGCAGGCTAATGCAGCTGCCCTGGCAAAATTTCCCTCATTGCACTCTGCATGACGTTACTTGGTTTCATTAGCCGACATGGTGCAGAAAAGTAGGACGTAAAACTCCATTCATTTCATTCTCTTTATTTTTTTGATTGCTTCAAAAGTACACAATAAAACTTCAAATTGAATTGAAATTGTGGTATGTATTGCACTACAGATGGAAATTGGCAAAACTAATTACACCAGAAGTAGTCATTTCAGCAGAGCCAAACGACTTTGCAAAAACCATCATCTTTTGCTTGGTTTGTGTACTTATCTTTTTGTATATCTGAACTCATAAATATGATGAAAATGACAAAAGCATTTCTTGTAATCAGCACAAAGAAATGGTATGATTGACCTAAAAGAATATTGGCCTCTTTAGAAATATGCATGAAAATCTCTAGAGTTGTTGTTGATAAATAAAAGGAGATGGGTATTGATTATAAACACACTGTATGTTTTTATGGTAGAGTGGCAGAGTGAATCGCTTCCCCATGGGAACTCCCTAGATCCTCAACATTGCGTAGATAATAATTGATATAGACAAGGAATAATGGCACCAAGCTATTTCTTTAACTCGGACTAAATTATTAAAACATTTTTCATTGAGAGAATCCTTACATTGATTATTTCATCTATATACTGTCTTACTATATTGCTCTAATATAGCTTTTAAGGTTGGGAAAGTCCATAAAATTTTCATCATAGTTTAAACAACTTTCCTTCTTCAATTTACATACTACATTCATTGACTTCAAAGAACTAATTTCTTAAATAATGAATATATGGCAATACTTTATGTGTACTTGGATTCATCAGAGGGATGGTCATCAGGTTTCATCCGAGTCATCATGATCCAGATCCATCAGTCTAGTCATGATCATCCAGATTCATCAGAGGAATGGTCATCAGGTTTTATCAGTCATGATCATCCAGATTTATCAGAGACATGATCATCCAGATTCATCAGTCCAGTCATGATGCTTGGAACAGTGCTCAAAGTGGTTATCATCTTTAGTACTCCTGGATTCATGAGTTGGAAATTTGAGTCGGATTCATTTTAGGATATTGACACTGCACTAGAGACTTCCTGCGGACATTGTTTTATTATAATAAAAGGTGTAATAACTGATAAGAAAGTCAATGAATATATTATATGATAAGCTGTAGGAATGAGTAATTAAGATAGACGTAGTTAATGATTCTATAATTATTAATCTATTCATGTAATCTGTAATCAACCATTCCTGGATTATCATTGACCCATATTAGCACTAGCTAAATTCATCATCATTATGTGTAATTCTACATTTCGACAGTGCTTGCACTGGATATTGCTTAATAATATATTGTGTCTTAATAAGATAAAGTATAGCAGTTTATTCCGATCACCTTTGATTAGTCCTTTTTTCAGAAAAAGGTACACTGAATGACGGCAACAAATGTACACTGAATGACGGCAACCTACAGGTTCTGTTATGAATATTTCAAATCCCCATCATACATGTATATGAAACCTAATATAATTTCTCCACAGTATTTAATACTTTCTAGCCTGATAAATTATCCTTGTATATCACTCTCTGGCTCTAGTCCAAATTATACTCTACATATTCTGTCATCTAAGTTTCTAATATCAACTTGTTTAATTTAGTACAATGGTTGAACTGTTCAAATTGATTACTTCTGCCTTGATTAGGAAAAAGTTTCTAACAAAGGAATCTTTCATAAATAATGCCTTGTGCAAGGAATCACAGGTTTAATCTTGTTTCGGATTCAATTTTGATTGACAGTATATCTGTTAAAAAATTTATTGAATTACCCAAGGGTAAAGCTGCCGACATACATAGTTTCCCTTCAGAACTATACTGCATTGAAACTAAGCTTAAAATAATATTTCCTTTGAACTAGATGCCAAGTGTCCATAAACAACTCTGACATTTGGCAATTCCTGGTAGTCATGGGCATACAATTGCTTCCATTAATGAAACCATGATATCTTGCAGAGTTCTTGTGGAACTTTCACAATAGAACATTTACTGTTCTGGTTGAAAAACATTGATGAATTTCCCTTATTGCATAAAGCCTAAAATTTCTAGTTTAGTAAGTGTATAACCATTAGATTATACAAGCTATATCAATTCAATATCCAGGTAATAATAGACCAGTAGTAGTAGAAGAATAAAACAATGATATATACAATAAGTATTATTATTTGTTGATCTATGGTTGATTGGTAGTTTTATCAATACTACAAATCAGTCTTGTGGGAAATAAGAGAAATTGAAGCATACCCAATATACTGAATAGATACAAGTCTGCAATATTAATCATATTTTTTATATCTATTCTTCCATCTTCTTTTTTTACTTTTATTTGTTCTACTGGCTATTCAATATTATTATTAATATTACCACAACTTATTTCATTAGCATTAATTACTTTACACTATCTACCTAGAGGAACATCATTTGTATAGGATCAAACATACAGTATGTACTGTTCATTCTATGTAAATCAAGATTTTTTGTAGCTTTTTCTCTAAGGTAGTTTCAAAGAAATATCTGTATAGAAACTCCAAGCACAAAATATTAAAGAGACAGGTGCGTCTCAGAAATGAGAATTTTTGTAGCTAAGCCAACTATTATAGTGTTCACACCTCTGTCGAAATTTGAGCCTTTGAGTGTCAAGAATTATGGTGGTTGAATGGTAATATGACACATAAAATTCCTAGTTTGAAGTACCATTCTAGTAC